GAGATGACGAAGCATAAGAAACAATTCATTTAAAGGCTGATGAGTACATTAGGGTTTTTAGTTTTGATTTAAACAACACTAGGATTGGGGCACATCTGAGGTCAAGAGGAAGCTGATTCCATATGTGAGCAGCATAGTAACTAAATGCATCTCCACCATGTTTTGTTCTGACCCAGGTTCTACCAACTGATTGTTTCCATGGGATCTCATTCTCAGAGCCCTATTGGATGTATATACTGGGATGAGATCTGGCATGTATTTTGGTCCCATGCCACTGAGTGATTTATAAACTAGTAGGAGCACTTTGAAATCTGTTCTGTAGTTTACTGGTAACCAGTGTAGGGATCTAAGAACAGGAGTGATGTGCTCCGTTCTCTTAGTTCTTGTTAAGACTCAAGCTGCAGCATTCTGAACAAGCTGCAGTTGCTTCACAGCTTTTTTGGGAAGACCAGTCAGGAGACCCTTGCAGTAGTCCAGCCAACTAGAAATAAAAGCATGAACGAGTTTCTCTAAGTCTGATCTGGACATGAGACCTCTGACTCTTGATATTTGATGAAGGTGACAAAAACGCTGATTTAGTTATAGCCTTAATGTGTCCAGAGAAGCTCAAGTCGAAGTCAATAATAACACCAAGATTTCTAACCTGGGTCTTTGTCTTTATTCCCCTGGAGTCCAGCGGAGCAATAACATTCATTCTATCCCTCTTGTTGCCAAAGACAGTAAGACTTGTCTTTGTTTAGTTGAAGGAAGTTTGACTGCATCCAGTTGTTTACTTGTTTTAGGCACTGACAGATGGGCCATTCCCATCTGTACCGGGTCGGCCCGGGCCGGGTAGCCCCAGTCGGCCCCAGCCTGGCCCGGTTGATTCCACACATCCTTGCCTTAAGCCCATGTGGGCTGATTCTACCCACCAATCAGAGGCTTGCTCTAATGGAAGGTGTGAATTTGCTGTCAGCAGTGGGTGTGTTGGCCCTGGTCGGCCTGAAGCAGACCCCCTCGAGAAGAGGGCTGAGAAAGAGCCTTGGTTTGCCCGGAAAAATACCAGGCCACCCAGATATGTAAACAACTTATGCTACCCGGCCCGGGCCGACCCGGTACAGATGGGAATGGCCCAAGAGTGAGTCCAGTGGACGACAGTCACTAAGTGATAAGGCTAGGTAGATCTGGGTGTCATCAGCATAGCTATGATAGGCGATGTTGTTATTAAGTATGACCTGACCCAGGGAGAGCATATAAAGATGTAAGAGTAGTGGTCCTAGAATTGAGCCTTGGGGGACCCCAAATAGGGCTAAATAATTAGAATAACTTAAACCCGTCTGCATGAGCGGTATTGTGCAAATTCACATCACTTTAAAAACACCGTCAAAAAAATGCTTTTGCTGTTGTAGCCTGTGAGTTTCTGCTAAATTAAACCAAGTAAGCTAAGTATTTTGGACTTTCCTGCAACTTTTTGGTTGTCCTGTGGTCCAGGATTGGTGTTTGTGTTGATCTGTGAGAAATAAGAATTAGCATTATGGGACTAATTTAAGTGTTGCACTAATTGTAGCTAATGTCCGATATCAACTTAAAAAGTATTGGTAAAAAAAATAAATAAATAAATAAAGAGTGATGTCATTTTTTGCAATAAAGAGAACACTCCTTGTCTCTGCTAGAGCTTGAGCGAGGTGTCTGTATGGTACAGCAGGAAAAATGCTGCTGTATACATCCTCCACTGGCATTTCTCTGAGGCAAACACGCTCCCCAGTTTTTATGAATCACTTTCCTTCTTGTCTCTCCTCTTTTTGTCACTTTTCCTGTTCGTTCACTGCCTGCTTCACCATCCTCTGTCCATCCTCCTGCTGAATGCTCTCATTTCCCCAATACATCTGCGTCAACAATTCTCAAATGACTGAATCTCCCTGAAGCCACCTACAAGGAGTGGATGTGACAGCGCTAAATGTTTCTGGCTGAAGCCAGCAAGGGCTGGCAAGTTGCATTGCCACTCACCAGGGTAAATTGGCCCCTTTTTGCCATAAAATCCAAATAAAACAGTTTTTTTTAATGTTGTCTAAAAATATTTTTGGGAGAAATTGACCACAATTTATTACAATCTATTAACAAATTGACTACAAATCTGTCTGCTGCCTCTGGAAGTCAATGATCTGCACCCATCCTTAGTGACCTCTGTCTTAGTGCCTCAGGGTCTGACACTAGAAAGCACTGGCGCATCCAGAGAGTCGATAAGCCTCCATGGATATTCTCTATGGTTTTCTCTGCTGAAAATGAGTCAGAGCGAGTATCCTAAAAACGGGTGCCTGTGGTGTCTCTGGGGATTATCGTTTCTGATTCATGCACAGCTGTGGTTTAAGCAATCCCCATTCTGGGGTCACAGAGGTGAGCAGAGGCAGATTTGCTGCTGCATCAAACAGATACAAAACCATTTAGCGTGCGCCATAGTGACTTGTAACGTTTCCATCGCTCAGGAGCATGTTCCGATTGTTCTCAGCAGAAGAGAGTCTATTGTGTGGCAAAAGGAGCACTCCTACGTGCTAACAAAGAACAAAGTGGGTGGCTGCACAGATGGTATCTCAAAATATGCATACTCTTGAAGAGTTTGTGGGTGCAACCACATTCTGCAACTGTGAACCGCTGTTTTCAGATGAGAGGCTTTCTGTGTGAAAAATGAAAAATGCACATCCATGTTGCGGGGGTTTATTCAGACAGAGTGGGGGGAAATGGAAGGTTTTGAATAAAGCATGTGTGAGTGTATACAAGTGTGTGTGTTCACGACGAATAAAGGTTAAATGATCCGTGTCAGTTTCTTGAGTCCAGGTGCAATCGCTCTGGATTCCTGCGCAGGATTACAAAATCCTTCAGTCACACCTAACCAAAAGGTGAAAAGGAACATCCTGTATCTTTTGAGTCTTTTGTTGAATTCTGAACACTTTTATCTCAGCGTCCTCTCTAAATATATTTGTCTGTCATTTCCTACCACCTATGTGCCCTTCACATTGCAGGGTCAGTCGTTTTCCCTACTATGAGTTGTTCCTGTGCTGTAAATGTGAGTTTTGTGAAAGCAGGACCCCCCTGCTTTCCCCTTGAGTGACATTTGGGGGGAAACACATTTGTAACGCAGCATGTACAGTAGCTATACTCTGTCTCGCTGCCTTCTGCACATCTAATTTTACAGCATGGTCTGCATTTAGATTCCTGGGGGTGTATCCACTGTGCATGGCTCTGACATGACTTCGCTGCAGGCTGAGAGCCAATGGGGTTTCGATATGAGACTTACATCAGGGGGCGGGTCTGTAGTTGGTGGTTTTGTACATGCATGCACGAATTTGTGCACGTATATGGCAAGCCATAATACTATCTATTAGTTAAAATGACAAAATAATGTAAAATTCTCACTTGCTTTGTTATGTAGTTGTTACAAATTCCAAGTTGTATTTTAAAACTGCAAACTAAATATTTATAACGTTGAATATCCAAAACAAAATTATACTAATCTGCTGAAAATGACGAGTTCAAAAGCACTTTTAGGAATTCAGTTACACCAGACTTCTGATATTTAGGTTCTGATTGACAAAATTATCCTTGCAGATTTCTGTAGCCCTGAGTACTGATTGTTAAAGGATACAAAAGTTTTTATTTTATTTTATGATAGCTAATGAATGACAGTTGTGACCATTAACAACCGATATTTTAGATATGTTAAATGTTACTTTATTCCAGCCATTAAATATCAAATAATTCATAAAAAACCTTCACTGATTTTAACATTTCTTTAATCACGTCTGCTGAACAGGTAATTCAGTCATTCAATCAGAGCAGGGACACAATAAAATCATGTTGAATGGGCCCTTGAGGACGAGGATTGGGCACCCTGTCATAGAAGCACTCTATGTAGCAGTTATAAAAAAAAACAAGTAAAAAAATACATTTTTAATATGAGAATGTTTAAAAATTACCTTACCAGGTTTCCATCGGATGCGTAAGCGGTGCATGATGTTTTGGAAGCACTACTCCGCAAAAAGCCATATTTATAAACAATTAAATGGTCTTCACCAGGTGTGCAGTGCTGGGTCTCAGATGTGTCCCAGAAGCAAAAAGTGCACCGCTCCTCTAAATGTACGCCCGGGTCTATTTTTTATGCTCAACATTTTTAGAGCATATCAAGATCAGCAGTTCAGATCAGGCCAAACGGTATTTTAAAGATGAGGGCAGTGTAAAGCTTCTGACATCATCAAAATATGAGACAAATGTGCACATTTCCTGCTGCTTTACTATTTAAAAAGTATGTTGTTATGTTTGAGCCATCCTTCTTGGCTTTGGTAATGAGAACTGAAAACAATCCACAGATGCTATAGTGACATGCTGCTGTCAGTGCCACCCCCAGAAAAGTTTCTTCGAGGTGGCCATGGGTCCAGAGAAAGGTTGAAATGCTAAATTGATCTTCAGGGCCACTCTGGGAAAGTGTAGTGATGCCATAAATGCTCTTTTATTCGTTTTCATGAAATAATAATAATAATCGTACTACTACTACTACTACTACTACTACTACTACTAATAATAATAATAAAACATTATTTGACTCTGGTCTTCTCTGGGTGTGGGCAGTGGAATGGCCAGCAATTTTCTACCCTTGGCCACCCCTTAGGAGCGCCACTGGCGGCTGTTTTCTGTCTGTTTTCATGTGAACTAGCAAAATCACGCGTGATCTTGCAATTCATTCATAATTTCGCGGGACCAGCTGAGTGGGACACATTCGCAGATACCAGTAGAAAAGAATGCGCCTCACATAATAATCTCTTCACTTTTGGCATTAGTAGTTTGCAAATGTTGTTATTTTTGAATATAATAAACATGAGAAACACGAGGCTCACCAAAAGCCAATGTTGACGTCTGAAGGGGGTGATTATATGCTACACCGGCGTGCCTTACCCCACAGAGCGTGTAACCCCCCCTCCCTCCTCTGTCGGCAGCGATGGTTGGCAGGAAGGCAGCCTGCTCCCCCCGAACAGGCGCAGTGAGATCGGTGTGTGTGTATGTGTGTGTGCGTGTATGTGTGTGTGTGCAGCTCGGCTCCGCTCTGAATGGACTAGATTCCCGGCCACGTAAGAAGCACAGCGGTACCACGGGAGAGAGGATGTCCTGCTGAATCAAGGGATTGGCCTGGGAAAGTCGGCCGGCCGTCCCTTCCTTCCTTCCACAAGCCTTCAGCAGCATCCACACAGCTCTTCATTTTTCTTCCTTTTGGACCAGACGGAGGAGAAAGAGTGTTGACTCCCGCACACAAAGAGCCTCGGCAGCAGCAGCAGCAGCGGTCTTTCCGGATGGGGCTTTCTCCTTGTATGCTACATGACAATCACCGTGCACGGACGTAATCCCGGGGAACAAGGCCGTGCACTGACCCGGCGCTCGTTAGCTTTGTAATTAGCTCGGGAAACCAGCTTAATTGGATTTAAGCGTGTGCGTTTTTCTCGTTTCCCTCTCCTGAATGCCAGGCGGTGTCCATTTTATTGTTTCCGTTTTATGAAACGTGTCAGACCGTTCACCGACACCGGATAAGCTAGCGGACTCTCCATTGATTCCCGGAGCTAACTTTTGATAGCCTTTGTCTAGCCTGCTTCTTCCCCCTCCTCGGTGAAGCCGCACCGCGCTGGTTGAGCACTCAAGCCGGGGGGAACGTTTTATTTAATTGATCTCACGAATGTCTAACAAAGGAGGAGGCAGATGAGCATCGGGGGGGAAATAACACCCTTTTTCGCCTGTTGACGTCCTCTAACAGCAGGTTGCAACACATCCACAACATTCGCATTTTGAATCTACTTCATCAAGCTCCCCAAGTGAAAGGTTAGGTAAAGCGGTGCTGTGCCCGAGGGGAAGGCTTCAGTCTGCAGGAGGCATCGCACTTGTTCCTCATGAACATACAGAGGTCAAATCCAATTAACATTTCGCGTTATGGGAGATCGCGACACAAATCGCACGATTTTGAGGAGTTGTCTTGTTTGAGGACTACAGAGTCGCACCAGAGCTTCAGTCCCAACCTCGGCTCTCCCAGCCCGCCGGAGACCCCGGACACCTCGCACTGTGTCTCCCGCATCGGGGACTACCTTTTGTTGGAGCCGCTGGAGGGGGACCACGTTTTCAGAGCCGCCCACCTGCACAGCGGGGACGAGCTGGTGTGTAAGGTGAGCATGCAACCCCCCCCCCCCCCCCCCCCCAAAAATAGCCACCTGAAAAACAAACGAGCAGTTTCATGCATGTTTTATTCTGGAACCATATTTTATTTTTGCTCATTATAGCCGATCTTTATGCACATCACCCGAAAATGTAGCTGAAGCAGAATAAAAGTGCAGACTTGGATCCTCCAGTGCGGCTGCCACATGGACTTTTTAATAATTGCTTGAATTGTAAATAGAGAGCTGGCAGAGCAGCCTAATGGAAACAGTGAATGGGGTGAGCTGTGTGGTTTGGATTGCATGATGTAACGTTGACAAAGGAGTGAGTAACCACGCGCACACACACACACACCTCCGAGCCATTCTGGCTTACCCAGTGGCTTCTCACTGTCAGCTACAATGCTGGAGTCATTGATTCACCTCTGGATTTAGATTTATGAACCGAGTCGTGCGTTGCACACTTTGGACCAATATTCTCGTGACATGCAATCCTGCATGGTAAGTTAGAAAGGAAGCATTTATTTTTTCAAATCCACTGAACCTTGCAAGGTGGACTTTCGCTACCACATTTATACGATGTTTAATCATCTGTGCTGCTGATAATCAGGGTGGAGGTTACTTTGGAGAATCCCAGCCATAATCTGATGCACGTTGACCGATTCATTGAAACAGCTGCACACACCCTTGGACCCATAAAAGCCTGACATTTCCGGTAGCCGGCACCTTTCTGACTTGAGGTAATGTTTTGTCGTTGCCGTGACAGGCGCCCTGCCTTATGAGCTAACTGCTGTTTGACCTCGTCTGCTTTGTGTCGACCTCGATACCGCAGCAATCAATCCCCACTTCCCGGGATTGATTATTACTGTCAGGCCGGCAGCTCGGGTCTCTCATGAGTTAAGATCTCGAGACCTGTGGGGTGTGTTTTTTATCGACTGCAGGCAGAAGGAGCCCTCTCACCTGAACTGGTTGTACTGAAAGTCAATTGGGGGTTGCTATGGAAACAAAAGAGGTACTGCAACCTCAGGCTGCAGCACAATGCCATGCAGTAGTATGATGCTACTTACTCCCTCTCCCAAAAGGAGTAACTCTAGTTGGCTGCTATGAGAGGGACTTTCTGTCCTACAAGGAAAATCTGAAATTCTGTCAGCTGGAATTTTTGTGTCCGCAACGGGGAAGGCGAAACGTTTTGCAGAGTCATTCTTAGATCTCCAACAACAATATCAGGATTCTTACTAAAGAGAACTGTTTCTAATTTGAAATCGTTTGCTCTCTTGTGCAGGTGTTCGACATTGGCCGATACCAGGAGTCGCTGGCGGCCTACTTCGCCTTGGGCCAGCATCAGCACATTAACCAAATCCTGGAAATTCTGCTCGGGGAGACGCGAGCCTACGTGTTCTTCGACAGGAGCCATGGCGACATGCATTCTTTTGTTCGCACCTGCAAGAAGCTGCGAGAGGATGAAGCTGCCAGGCTCTTCCACCAGATAGCCTCGGCTGTGGCACATTGCCATGACAACGGACTGGTCCTCCGTGACCTCAAACTGAGGAAGTTTGTCTTCAAAAATGAGGACAGGTAAGTTTCGCGGAAACCGTTAGGGCCGCTGTGCCTGGTGGCTTTGTTGTTTTTTTCCGTTTGTACATTCTGTTCAGTGAAATTTCAATGGCGTCTGTGTGATGTCATAGCTCAGCTTACACAGAGGATGTTGTAAACTGAGACTGTACAAGAGAGACGTTCCTTCTCTCTCAAATGCTCTTTTTTTTGTGTGTGTGTGTGTGTGTGTGTGTGTGTGTGTGTGTGTGTGTGTGTGTGTGTGTGTGTGGTTTATTAGTGGAGATATTGCACACACACACCACATATGTAGATGAAATTACACGGGTGTCATCTTCACCCCCATAACTCGAGACCGGCACTGCCGTTGAACCGAACAGCGCGTTCAGATAAGTTACCTTACCGGGACAAGCCGACGATCACTGGATGAACCAGAACCCTGTGCTTTCACAATGCAAGTTTTGACCTCTGGTGGCTGCTGTTAATACCTGCAAACATAGACATCTGTTGCTACAGCAACCTTCTTATTTTAGATGCTAAGTAACCTGTTTTTATCATTTTTGATCACTGCCATGTGCAAACACCTGCCGTGCGGCTCCACAGATGCACCGTGTGCTTGTTTGGGAGTGTGGTGTCATTCGTTGGCACATCCAGTGGAAAATGGAAGTGGAGCTGCCTCGCATATTTAGTAGAGGTCCAGTAACCTTCAAAGCTTTTAGACTGAGATGCACGCCTCCTCTTTAATGATTGATGTTGACTGATTTTTTTTTTACGAGCGATGGCACAGGGCAGAGCAGGGTCGCGTTTACCACATGGCCTGTCAAGACTCTTCTTGCACCTTCCTTGTCTTACTGAATCGGTGGACACAAGTGTGCAGAGACGAGAGAGTTCGACTCAAGGAAACAACACAATCCTGAACACGAGCCTAATCAAAGTAGATTCGTCTTTAAATAGGCTGAAATCACGTCAAAGCCGGCCATGATTCATCTTCTTTGCTGTGTTTGTTTGCAGAAATCTTGTAAAGCTGGAGAGCCTTGAGGACTCTTATATCCTTGCTGGTCTCGATGATTCCCTCTCAGACAAACATGGCTGCCCGGCCTACGTCAGTCCAGAGATTCTCAACGCCAACGGCAGCTATTCGGGCAAGGCAGCTGACGTCTGGAGTCTGGGTGTCATGCTCTATACCATCCTGGTGGGACGTTACCCCTTCCACGACGTCGAGCCGGGATCTCTGTTCAGCAAAATTCGCAGGGGCCACTTCAACATCCCAGAGACGCTGACGCCAAAGGCCAAGTGCCTGATCCGCTCCATCTTGCGTCGGGAACCGGCAGAGCGCCTCACCTCTAGGGAGATACTGGAGCACCCTTGGTTCACCTCTTCCGGGGCGCTAGGAGGATCTCAAGTGCACGGGAGAGCGGAAAGGGAGCAGGAGCAGATGGTGCCTGAGGTGAACATGGAGGAAGAGTTGGAGCATTTCTTGAGCTGAACACATTCAAAAAAACAAGAGTAAACAAAAAAAAAAAAAAAAAAGCAAAGCACAAACGAGACATCGCCACGGTCTAAGCAGAGCCAACAGCCGTAGTTTAGAAATAAATCGGTGAATTTGTCTCTCATAACGAAGGCGTTTCCATCCTGTTTTCCTTTCTCCACCATCTCATGGAAAACCTTGAGCCCGGCATGACTAATGACATCTAGACATCATCAGGCGGCGCGCCCCGACGGAGGGGGCGGCGCTGCCACACGTGCAAGTTGCAAACAATGTAGCAAAAGTTGTTTTTAATCACTTAGCTTTGTTTTCTTGTGGTGCTCACACAACGTTGACACATTTTTGACACTATTGAAAGCATGAAGGGACTTGTGGACATAAGGACAATTCTGAGTGGACTGAAGCACCACACCTCTTAGATTTTTTTTTTGGTCATCACTGTGGCTCGTAATAAATTCGAAACCACAGCTCCAGAGTCAGAAACGGCGATCCCGACTCCTGACCTGGGACCATTCGTTAGGCTTTTTGTCTTTATCATAAACACAAATGTTCGACCTCATCTTTGTTTTGCATAACGGTAAATTCTGACACAGTCACTGAACTCCTTGGTGGCCTTTTTTATTTACGGTTCTGCCTCTTTTTTTCTCAGTATCACCTCTGTCGTTTACTCCGTTTGTTTCTAAGCTAGTGCTGCTGCTTTCTTTCCCTGAATCTTCCATTTGTTTTGTATTCATCCCAACATGTCATCAAGCACTTAGTGCGTTCAATTAAGGCGGTTCCCACCTCTTAAAAAATTAGCTTCCAATATTTAAATTCATTTTTCACTTGTAGGAACGAGAACGTATCGTTTTTATTTAAATTGTAACAGCTATATAAATATATATAAATAAATAAATATAAATATATATTTAAAGCTACATAGCAGGGTACTTCTTTATCAAGAGATTCCTTTTTTTCATGACGTATGATGTAGGCAATATCGCGACACAGGACAGGCACGACGAGGACACTGAGTCTGTCTGAAGTTTTCGAAAACGTGATCTCATCTATGCCAGTAGTCCTGCGCCCCAACAGGCCATGCCACCCAGTCTCCCTCACTACTTCTTAGAATAAAAGAAGACTAAAAAACTTGATATGAGATATTCAGTGGTAGAACTGCTCGCTCCATGACCTCATGTTAGTTTTCCTACTGCCTGTGTAGGGTATGTGAAACCATCACGCTCGGAATGGGTACCAGTGGAGATGTTTCGTTGTATCTCAATGTTACTTGAATTTGTGTTTTTTAGATCTAGTCATTGGCATGTGCTCCATGGATGCTGTAGCCTGCCTAGTGAGGGGTAGGGTGGGGGGTTGAGGGGTAGGAGGATGCTTGTTTCAGTTCTTTAATTTTTTTTCTTCTAAGCTAAAAAAAAGAGGGGGGAAACTTAATATTATTTTTCCTTTTCCTGAAATGCTTTTTTTAAAACAGCTATTTCCACTGTTTTTGTAGACCGAGCTACCTTTTTATTTAAGTTGGTGCTAATGTTTAGTCTTTTTTTTTTTGTTCCTTGGAGGGGGTGGGGGGTGGTGATGCATGGTGGGATATCTGCCTCAGATGTTCTGATTGTATTGTAACAGATTCTGGTGTTTTGTCCAAATTTATTCAGTAAATAAAATTGTGATCTGCTATTTGATTTTTTTTGTTGATTTTCCTTCAAAGAAAAGATCTTATCTTCAACATGCATTCAGTTAACATGGATGCAATAGATTGTGACGTGTAAAATTCACATTTATGAAAAACATCAACTGGCTTACTATGATTTTTAGAAATGCATGTTTTCTACAACCATTCATAGATATGATTATTGGGTAGTTTGAAAATATCCATATTTGTAGGATTCAAGTCTAAGAGTCAAAATTGTTGCTTCGTTGTTTGTCATTTTGAGGTTTTGTCCCATCAAGAACCCCCTCAACACGAGAGGCTACTTTATCTTTTTTAAAGGTGCAGTATGTAAGAATATAGTGAAATCTCAGTCATTTTGGAAGGAATGCTATACCAAAATATATTTCATATCCAGCTGGCTGCAGGGATTGTCAGTTTTTCTCCTTTCAAAACCAAGGAAGGAGGGAAGTAACTACTGTATACCATCAGTGAGTGCGGGGTTGCCATGCCTCCTGTGAGCTAATACTTTAGCACCGACGATTGTAGTTTGATGACAGCTGGCCGAAAGCTCCAGTTGTTAAAAGTGGTTGCAGTAATCCAATTTTACAACATGATGTCATTTTTATTTCATTTGTACATAATACACCTTTAAATTTGTTTAAATAAGCTAAAAAATATTAAAAATTTCATTAGTAACGCAAACAATGACAGGTCAACAGATACAAAAACTGACAGACATTCTCGGAAAGCAACAAATTGAGAGTTTGTAAAAGCTGGCACTGGATCTCGTCAGTTGGTCTCTCAACGCGATTGATAAAAAAATTTTCAACGATGAGAATGGGAGAAGGGGTTCCCGGATGCCCCTCCGGGACAGACCCAGTTGGACTCATCATGGACTCCTGGAAACAGTGGAACTTGATTTGTTTATCCCAGCTGTCTGTGGAGGACTCTGAAGATGTGTGGATGTTCGTGGTGTTGGTGTCGGGTTTCCTGCTGATCTGCATTGGAGGCTACCTGGCTTACCCGAAAATGAACGAGCTGTCGAGGAATATTGGCCTGATCCCGGAGCTCAGAGATGGTTTGCACCATGCTGTGAATTCACAGACTCACATAATTGTCGAGACGAATCGTAAGCTTGGAACTTTGGTCGAGATTCATTCATTGGCACAAAAGATGGATGCGATCAAGGATAGAGTGGACGAATCAGCACGGATTGGGATAGTTTAATGTCCATTATTGGGATTTTGAGAGGTTGAGGACCAAGGAACTGTAAGACAGAGAGGAAACTATCTCTGTCTGGCCCCAAAACAATTTCTAATCGGTATCTGGCACCCTTAAGCCTGTAAGGCTCCAATGAAAACTCCCCCCTCAGAAGATATGTGGAATGTGCCGTCACTGTGGCAACTCAACTCTGTCTCCTTTCCCAGCCTGGGTGGGACTGCGGGAAGGCCGCTGAATCATTCCAGGGTCACTCCAACCCTCCAACCCTCAATGCTCCTCCCCCTATCCACACTGAGGTGGCATGCGCTGCTTATCGTGGCTGCAGGAACTGAAGTGGGGATAGTCCCAACCCACCACCCCACCTAGTGGACACTCTAATTTCCCTCTGGGATTAATAAAGTATCTTTGATTTGATTTGGTAAAGTGTTTTCATACCATCAATGAACACATCATAATGAAAGACCTGTTGAAATACTGTAATTTTGAAAACCAAAATGACCTTTAAGTCAAGTTTTAAAAGAGATGGCTAATGTGGCTAACGATAACACACTGTATGTGAACAGTGAACTATCTTGCCTGTTTTTCCTTTGGGGCAAATGTTGCCCTCTTGTGGATACTATCAAATATCACATTTTTTCAGTGGTTTGTAGTTTGCTATCAAAGAGGATGTTTTCTAACAGCAAGTGGCAAAGTTTTAATTAAAAATCATCTAATGCTGGAGTTTTTGTTGGATGACCTACAGCTACAGACTTCTGTCTCATTATCTGTGAAACTATAACTTTTTTGTGTTCACTAAGTTGGATTAGCTGTGGTGTTCACTTTCACATTCGATGGTTGATGTTTTTTTTCCTTTTATCACTGATTAACTATAATTCACATAAATCTTTATCTGCAGGATAAATACTTTTATTCTTAAACACATAACCAAAGTGTTTCTGGTCTCAGTCACTGGGAAAGTGTCTGAAATAAGACTGGGCGGCTTCTTTAGACTCCAGGAAAAAGCTCTTAAGGCTGATCATTTTCCTCGTGACTGTCATGAGAAACCCAGTCTCTTCTCTAAATCACAAACCAGCGGCTCTCCTATCTTTGTTAAACAATTTCCTGTTCCACTTGTTTTTAAAGTTTAATTAAATGTGTTTAACCTGGTCATGCGGGGAAATGCTGATGACAACCAGCTTTATTTGACTATAAATAAACTAAAACAATCAATTAAATCACAATAAGTTTCTTTAGATCACAAAGACAGTCAACCTTAAAGAATTGTGTTGATTATTTCACAGTAAAGCACAAACCTGACTGAAAACAACAAATTACAAAATCCAACCTTGCAAATAAAAAAATAAATGTGCACACAATTCTCCAGGGAACTGGTTGGGCCTAAATAGACTTGAGAAAGCATGTGTTAGGCTGACCTCTAGTGGTAGGACCACAACAGTGGAATTAAACCAGAGTAAAGTATTTTTCTGCATTTGGCAAATGAGTGAAAATCAGTAGACTATTTGTGAAAAATAACTTTAAATTAATGTAAATTTATTTTTAAATGTTATATTAAAATTGATTCATACTGAGGTAAGAATATGTATGTAGATGAGTTGTGAATTCTAATTTTTACCCATGCTTTCGTTCATTTTTAAACACAGAAACAGTTTTGTTTACCTGTTTGTAGCTACAGTTTCGCCGACAGCTGCCGGCTTCTTCAGGCTGACGCTGATGGTGGCGCGTCACTTCCTTCTCCGTTTATCTGCGGGCAGCAGAGGACGTTGTCGCCCTCTACTGCCCGCTCTCCCCTCTCCAACGATGCAGTCCCATGCGTGGTCCAGCGTGTAAACTCCGTCGTCCCTGTTCATGGTCCCACATCCACGTCTCCTTATCTCGATTGCTTCCTTGATCCATCTTTTGTATTTTTGTTGTTCGGTGGTTATGATCCGTGTGTTGTCCCAGTCCATTATATGGTTTTCTCTTAAGCAATGATCTGTTACGGCTGACTTTTTTATTGTACTTTCTGCTTCTTCTTTTGCTGCTCTTGTGTGTTGACGATTTGCCTCTTTCTCGATCAAGGAAGCAATCGAGATAAGGAGACGTGGATGTGGGACCATGAACAGGGACGACGGAGTTTACACGCTGGACCACGCATGGGACTGCATCGTCGGAGAGGGGAGAGCGGGCAGTAGAGGGCGACAACGTCCTCTGCTGCCCGCAGATAAACGGAGAAGGAAGTGACGCGCCACCATCAGCATCAGCCTGAAGAAGCCGGCAGCTGTCGGCGAAACTGTAGCTACAAACAGGTAAACAAAACTGTTTCTGTGTTTAAAAAAGAACGAAAGCATGGATTTACAAAGACACAGCAAGAACACACCTAAGATGTTCTAATTTTTACATCATACTTGTGCTTTTGTAGTTGGAGAAGTGGATTTCTGTGGGAATAAAATTATGATATTTATTAATCAAAGCTATTTTTTGCTCTTTGAACAACCTCAGTTTGCAGAAAGAGATCATTTATGACCAGATTGATAAGCTAATGGCTAGTCCCAGTGGGACCTATTTCAATAGCCATCACGAATTAAGTTAAAACAAACAAACAATATCTTGCTGTTCATTCAAAGATAATTTTGCACTTTTGTCCATTTTGCATTACATATTTCTTCTGGGTAGAGAGGGCTGCACCAACCATACAGCTAGCTACTGCTAATGTTTTCCAAAATCTTACATGTTCATGTAAAGAAAGACTAAGTGCAAAACTGACCGTCCATCCAAATAAAATGCAAGGAAATGTTGGAGATTAAAGTAGTTTACCAGTAATCCACTTTGCTGACTAGCTGTTAGCTTATCACTCCAATTTGAACCAATCTTCATTTATCAAAACTGAATCATTTCTGTCATCATGAGTTACTGGAGTTAAAGTTACTAGGAACAGGCCATGCAGTGGAGCTTTGTGAACATATGGAAACACAGTGAAGTGTAAGAAGGTGGAATAAAAAGACTCGTCTCAGAGAAAAAATGACCTTCAAAGCTGATGCATATGCATTTCCACAAGAAACTGATGCACAAAAAGAAGGATGAAATGTGTTGGATTGACACCAGAAGGACGACAGAACATTCAAGTTATGAGTGTTTATTGTTTAATTTACAAACATTGAAGTTGCTCACTTGCATCAAAACCGATTATAATAAAGAAGAAAAAAGAACTTGAGTTTTAAATCTTTGTGGAGGGGAATCCACAGTGTGACACAGCCCTAAAATCACCTCTGCAACATTCAGCAATGGCCTATCAGTGGAGGTGCTTCTCCAGACTCGTGTCTACCTGCAAGCATCATGCCTGGTTGCAGAAACGGAGACATCAAGGTTTGTAGAGGACGAGAACAGCTCCCAGTCCCCGTCCCGTCCTCCTGAGTTTGCGTGACAGGAATGATTCATGTCCTGTTTACACTGTTCATTCACTGCTGTGCACTTTCAAAATCTGTCTAGCTGTTGACACTCGTGAGTCAATTCAAAGCTCAGAGAACACTCCTAAAACATCTTAGATTCCACTTCTGTCTGAGCGAAATATTTCATGTTCTTTTATTCTAGTGTTTTATCGTTTGCTTTGGTCTAATATCCTTTGGTTTTAGACCACGGGAGCTCTCTGATCTGTAAATGGATGAGTCACATCAAACACATTTCTGTTTGGGTCTAAATTTAACAAACCTAATACGTTGCATTAATGCTGCTGGCTGCACAAACATGTGCAGAGACCCGCTGGCCTGGAAAGTCCTGCTGTCACAGTAATCTTCTTTCTCAATCCAATCTCTGTGGAGGTTCATATCAGGGTGA